CTGAATCTGGAGCCAGTTCCGACTTACATACAAATTCAACTTAAGAACAAACCTATAGTCCCTATCTTGTACGTAACCCGGGGACTGCCTGTACTTACATTTCTGTATATATACTATATAAAGCAGTATTTACAAGTGAATGTATGAAATTTAGTTTGTACTCACTTGGCTTTAATGTAGCTTGTTGTAAAACTAGGAAAATAATTAGATGAGTTGATGTACCCTTTGGAAGACCTCTTACCCCCAGGAGTATGCATACCCTTGGAATACCGGTCTAACTCACAGCTAATGCTACAATTTAACACAATTTTGTGGTGCAGCAATTCTACTAACTGCAGCAGAACAACTCCTGAATTATAATATTATGTGTATGAATTGTACCTTAATCACTGAATTTTTTTAGACATTGAGCACTTGATCTGCAAAGAGGATATATCCCTTTGGGATTTGCCATGATATTGCTGATAATACGAATTTTATTCCAATTAAAAGATCTGCAACTGGTTTCCACATACTGGCTCAGGCTCTTTAGCCATAGTCCCAAGGATCACTAAACCTCTCTCTAATTGAACAGCATTGGGAGTTATGTTTAATGAGGGATAAATAAAAGGATACTTTCCTACTTTATTATCACTGGGGGATAGAATTACTCCCTATGTTGTCTAAATATTAAATCTTAGCAACTAAAAATGCCAAGTTCTGGTAAATACGTTCTAGCACAATAGCAGGCTTTGATCTTTGAAATATTTAAGCTCCGCTACATCATACTGTGGCAAAGATTGTTTTGTTTTGGTGGAACCTGGGTGAACACAATTACAGGTCCCAACATGTCTGATCCTGCGAAAGTAGTGTGAAGAAATGCTTTCATAAGGAAATACTTTCATTGAAACCCCCAGTAGTCCCACTGTTTCTTCCACTAAGAAATGCAAATTTTAAAATTCTTGGTAGTCTAAAAATAGTTCCATTTGGATGGGAAATGTGTTTTTAAGCACTTGGTGAAACGATTCACTTGCTGCTTGGCCTTTTGGAAGAAACATGACAACTGAAACTGTGCAAAACAATCAACTTGTACCCACGCAGAATGAGCTTTTCTAGGAATCGTTCTGTGAGTCTGGGGGGGAAAGGTGTGACAATTCCCCCCAACCTCCGCCCCATGGCTTATGAAATTGTCATATGGACACACAGATGCTTTGTCTCATTGGAATACTTCATGTAACCTATCCATTTTAATGTCACAGTCTGCTGGTTCTGTATATCTTATTTTGGAGTGTGTATCATTCTTGTATGAAAAGTGTAAATAATTGTTACCTGGAGGAGCAATCAGTGTGTACATCCTCCTTTCACTGTTAAAGAGGGGGCCTACCTGAATTATTTATTTGAGATTCTGATTCCATTTGGAGATTGGGTTCCCAGAAGCTGTACCCGAAACTATATTCTCCTCAGACTGAAGAGACTCAGGGTATGTCTAGACTGCAGGCTTTTTCTGAGATACTGGAGGTATCCCGGAAAAACTCCAAAGCATGCAGGGAACATGTTTTCTCTTCCACTTTTTTTTTTGCAGAAGAGCAAATGTGCTCTTTCGGGGAGCCTTGTATACCTCGTTCTACGAGGAATAAGGGCTCCTCCAAAAGAGCAGGCTTCTCCACCATTTGGCCCTGTCTAGACGGGGCCAAATGATGGAAAAGCGTCTTCTGGAAAGGCAATCGGAAAAAGCTATGCAAATTTCAGAGCGCAATTTGCGTAGCTTTTTTCAAAAAAAGGCAGACTAGCCTTAGTGTCTGAATTGTTCTTCTGGGGTGGGACAATCTCAGCTCTGTGCCTTAGTTGAGGGAGACCAGGAGATCTGGGCCAGGAAGACAAGCTGGTGAGGAGCCCCAGAGAGCAAGGAGGTGAGTGTCAGTGGCTTTGTCAGCACACCGGGAAGCACCACCAAGGGGTTCTCTGTGACCACATCCTGTCACAAGAGGTTCTCAGGACAAGAAAAAACCTGGGAAATGTGTGAACATAGTTTCAAAATGAAGCTGAAGCCTCCCTGTAAAAATCTAAGCCAAGAAGGACCCACCTGTTAGAAGGGAGGACAGTGGAGTTTATTTTGGGGGGCTGGTGAAGAAAAGGACTAATTCAGAACAATTTCTTTTAATCTTTTTTCTTGGAACTGAACCTGGTCTGAATTATAACCAAATCCCCATGAACTGAATTGCTAGACATGCTTTGTGAAGCGTGCCCCAATTCAAAGCCTGAAGCATTTTTCCAGCAATTGTGAATCTGGCTTTGCTACTGTTCCTAATCTACCTCTGTGACGCTATCTGATTACAATATGACCATGTAGATCACTGCTGCTACCACTGATATATAATCACAACAAATCTTATACAAAGTATGTCAGGTAAAGTGTCTGTGAATCATTCAGCACATCATAACTTGTTATGCTATTTGTATGCACATGCCACTTTTCTATCTGATGTTAGGAATATTAACAGTGTGCCTGTATCTCAAATGTTTGCTCATGTGGTAACACACACAAAGTAATTAGCCTGCACATCATGAAGGGACTATTCATGTTCAATGGTCCATCACAGAACCTAACTCACAATGGACCATGGGAGATGCCTATGTACTCTTAAGGGACTTTCCTGTGAAGGTTCTAACTAAAGTATGGCTAATGGTCTCTGCTCTGCTATGATAAGCAAAGCATGCATGGACATGTGCTATAGCCATGTGACTCCAAACACCATCTTGTAACCTATAATTTTCCACAATGTAAGAACAATGAGTTTCCCTTCACTTGGCAGAAGCTATAAAAGGCCCTGAAAACTTCTCCATGTTGCCTTTTTCCTAATCAAACCTCTGGATTAGGAATGTAAAATACCATGTAACTGGTTAAATGTAATGCTTAGCTGGTTAACCGATTAAAGAAGAGGGCCCCCACCTACCACAGCTGGGCTGGAACCAGTCCCCTGCCCACAGTGAGCAAGGAGCTGCTCCAGCCCCCACCGGTGAACTAGTTAACCAATCACCTCCCTATTCTGGATAGTGAACTTGTACCAATGGGAGCAATCTAGCCAAAGGAATGAGGACCTTCCAAGGATTTAGACGCAACCAGAGACTTAACACGCCAGCAGTTTATTCCATCACTGCTACAAGCCTGACAAGAATGCAAGTATTTTATATACAGGCAGTCCCCGGGTTACATGGATCCGACTTACATCGGATCCCTACTTACAAACGGGGTGAGGCAACCCCGCACTAGCTGCTTCCCCCCAGCAGACAAGGGAGACGCGAAGCTAGCGCCTGCCCCCTCAGCAGACCAGGGAGACGCGGAGCGGCTTTTCTCAGCAGACACCTAAGCTTGAGAATAAAGGACTGAGGGAAGTGAGGTGTGGGAGAATAAAACTGAGCTCTGGAGAAATGTTTGGCTAGAGTTTCCCCTACAATATGTACCAGTTCCGACTTACATACAAATTCAACTTAAGAACAAACCTACAATCCCTATCTTGTACGTAACCCGGGGACTGCCTGTATTTGATTCTGTTAGCCAATTTTAACTCTCGCCTATCTTTTTGATTTTTTTGGGTAAGATCTGAGTTATATATGGACCTGGGTATATGTGGCTGGTCCTTTGGACTCAGAAGAAACCTGTTGTTTTATGTAGTTGGTTTTAAATAATCGTTCATCAGTAAGTTTGGATGTTGAATCCATGACTAGGTTGAAAGACCTAAGGAGGCTGCATTTTTGACTTCGTTAGCCAGTGCAGCGAGGCAGAAGTTTACTTTTGTTGCTGGTTTAGTCTATCACATAGAGAATAACCCATTTGGGGGTGTGTCTGTCCTATTTCTCAGCAGTTGGTCCTGTATTTGCTATTCTCAGTTGTGACTCAATGAGGCAGTGACAACTTCCTCCTGTCATGGAGAAATACTCAAAACTGCACAATGTGAGCTTGCTGGGGAAACTGCAGATTTACCTCACAGTGCTTCCAGTCCTTAGAAAGCTTGAACCCTTTCTTGCCATCACAGTAGCAGGTATAGCTTCCTGGAGAATTTACACATATTTGAGAACAAGTGTTTTCAGCACATTCATCCACATCTGCAGTGAAACGGAAGCACATGGCATAAGATTAGACTGAACAATCATATCACATTCTAAAAGACAAGTACATTAAGTAAATGCAACAATGGGCATGACTAGTTCTGGGTTGGAATGTGAATCCTGTCTGTGGTAGTGGTGATGACTCTCCAGCCTGAACTGCGCATTGCTTTCTGGATGAACAACCTCAGCACGTCTGATATGGGAACCGTACAGAGAGAGCCAGGGCAAGGTTAAAATGATATGTCCGACGCTGCAAAGCTGAGCTGCTTGGCTGAGAATTACAGAGCAACCCAGAGGTGCAGAGTTGGGAAATTAATTCCGGTCACCTATCAGTACCATCTGTTCTGGGCCACCCTCCTCTTGTTCCACTTAGGGTCTCACAAATTGCAGGAGTTACTTCAGTCCTAGCAGTATACATAGCAATCATGTGGAGCAGAGACAGTCTGACAGCTTTCACTGTACTGAACTGATTTTGGCCTTATGGGGGAGAGGTACTTCCTCTGATATGTACAGTAGTAATCTTCCCAAGCTGCAAAGCTCAGACAGTTTAAGTGGAGTCTATGGAGACCAACTTAGGCTGATTAGAAGCAAAAGCCATTTGGCTATTAAGGAGCTAAACCCACTATCTTTTTCATGTTGTTGGCTATGTGCAATAAATAATTTAGGAAAAAAAGAAAGGTTGTGTGAAAGGCTAATTTAATTTAAATTTCTAATATGAAAACTAAAACAAAATCTCTCATGAGGTGAGAAGCTCTGTAGATGTGAGCTAAGGGCAATGTATAAAGAAATTTTGCAATGGCCATTCTGAAATTCACTGCCCTTTTGATGTAAATCAAAATTTTGTATAAAGAAATTTTGCAATGCCCATTCTGAAATTCACTGCCCTTTTGATGTAAATCAGGAGTACTATGTTTGAAAATATCCTTTAAAAAATTATTTGTTTTGGTAACACGAAAAGGTTATTTTCTAAATGAAAAATCTTATTTTGTGTTGCTTAAAGGAAAAAGCAGCATCTCATCTTAAGCTCAGCTTTATAAAGTGGTGAGTGTAATGCACTGGTTAGAACGAGGAATTAGTTCCCATTATTCCTTGGGTTCACTTCTGTCTGACACAGCCGCACTGAGTAACATGTCATTTAACCTCTCTGTGCCAGATGTTCCCCATCATTTAGCTGGCACAGAGAGGTTAAATGACATGTTGAAAGGACTAAACAACTAAAGCTAGTGAGGGGTTTTGAGATGTTTGTGTGAAAGGCACAATACCTAGTAAGATTGGGCATTTTAATGTCTTTGTTCCTTGTTTCATTGGCCAAAGGCATATTTCAGAAAACTCTCTGTTCAGGAAGGATAAAGATGTGTGGACCTGTAGATATGACCAATACCTAAGTTAAACTGTAGTGGGCTAAGGTCACTTTTTAAAACAACTTCTATTGTGTTTTAAACCTCTCCTCCCCCTTTGATTCACCTCTAGGAGTCTAAGGATGTGAGCTGTTGCCCCAGGGCAGGAATGTCTGCATGAATTGGAGGGTTTTGCGGCAAGTGCCAGCCTCTAGCAAGACCTGCCTTGCCGTTGCTGGGGTGTCTGTTGTGCAGGGGGGTGCAGCCACAAAACTGGTCAGAGGGGGATGAGCAGAGTCAGTACCAGCTTCTACTTGAGGGGTGTTTATGAACCTTGACTGGATTTTACAGTTGCTTTTGATGCACAGAATCCCCAGAAAATAGAAATGTTGCTTCAAGGAAGCAAAGGAAGGAGACTCCTACCTACCTCCTTTTGCAGCAGCTACCAGTAAAGGCTCTGTGGGGGGGCGGGAAGAGGGGCGGGGCACTTGTGTATGTAAATGACTTCATTAGGAGGGGGGGAGGGGCACTTGTGTATGTAAATGACTTCATTGATCAAAGAGAGTAATTCTGGCCCTCCAACATGGCAATGGGAATATACATGTTGCCAACCTTCAGACAGGTGAAGTTTTGGCCCATATGCACAACCTTGTCCTTTGACAGGATCTGTTGATCCATGTAACGTGGGCCGTAACAAGTCTGAAAGCTTAGCAGCATCACATTTTCAGTAAGAAGTGGGACCTTGCTTTTGTTAATAATCTTTCAGGATCCTAACTGTAAAAGTAAAATTTACCCTTAAGGAGAACTCCACACAACCGGATATACACAAAAAAGAGGGGAAAGCATATTTCAGATTTTCTTGAAACCATAGGGGTTTTTTGTATCCCAGTATACACATTTACAAAGGGATATAAGAATCTGTTAGGCTATGTCTACACTGCAGGCTTATTGCACAAAAACTTGCGGACCATCTACACTACAAGTGTGTTCTTGCGCAAGTAAATTTACAGTAAAGCGTCAGAAAAAAGGGCTTCTTGCGCAAGAGTTATTCCTCTCCCCATGCGAAATAAGCCCTCTAAGAGCTCTTGCACAAGAAGGTAACAGAGGTTTCTTGCACAAGAAACCCCGATGGCTAAAATGGCCTTCAGAGCTTTCTTGTGCAAGAGAGCATCCACACTGCCATGGACGCTCTTGCGCAAAAGCACATCTCTCGCGCAAAAGCACATGACACGCTCCTGCACAAGAATTTTTGCCCAAGAACTCTTGCGCAAAACAGTTCTTGCAAAAGAAGACATAGTCTTAGTATCCTCTCTCAAACTCCACAGTAATTGGGCAAGGGAGTACAGATGGCTGATTATGAAATCCTTGCTATTGCGTAAAGTTAAAGCACCAGACAATTATTGCACATAGTCATGAAGTAAAATGATCTTTAAGTCAGTGTGTGTGTGTGTGTGTGTGTGTGTGTGTGTGTGTGTGTGTGTGTGAGAGAGAGAGAGAGAGAGAGAGAGAGAGCAATAAATATCTGCAGATACCATTTATAGCACGGGGAGAGCTGTAAAGACAAAGAGCTTTTGTTAAACTGCAAACATGAAGAATTCCCTCCTAACAAAGTCCTAAAAGTTCATCCTTTTCTTCACTGGTATTTCCACTGAATTTTTAAAAATAAAATAAAACAAACATCTGCCAAAAGTCCTAAGTATTAAATAAAATAAGCAAATTACATTCCAATATTTGTACAATTCATAGATATTCCATAGTTAAAGGTGAATATATATTTATAGTGAACAATTATGGTAACTTTCTCTGAGGGGTGCTTTTTTTCCACATGCTCATTTAATCAAGAAATGTTTTTCTCTCCCCAGAACATTTCTTAAGGGACAATCCTCTTCTGACAACTTATATAGCGGACAGGCTGTAGTGTGTATATGTGGGGAAAGAATTAACTTTTGTTTTTAAATGGAAGTCTCCGGTTCCAAAGACAGCCAGTTTTTGAGAGTGAATCCTTCCAGTATTTCATTTGCACCCTTTATGAAGAGCAGCCAGATTGATTCTGAATCAATGAACAGCCAGTGTTTGAATGGCAGTCACACAAAATGTGATTAATATATACCAAAAGAAGAGGGCAGAAAGTGGTTTTATACTTTGTAGCAATTGTAACAGCCCTGGTGGATATCTCCCTGTTGGATGCTGTGTTAGACCCACTTGCTAGGCCTCTGTGCCTTGATAGTCCCAATGATCAAGGGATAGTCACTAGCTACTATCTCTAGCTGAAAACTCTCTGGCACAATCTATCGTGTACCACTGTGTGAAAGTGGGAACCCATAGCACAGCTGTACTAGGCCCCTAGCACAAGAGCTGACCCCCACAACACTCCAGTAGTTTAAGCAAAACACTTCCTTAGACCTCCATCAGTCCCTGGTTTATAATTCACCGCTTCAGACAGGTCCTAGCTGAAGCAAATAACACATAGACCTTGCAGAGTGATTTCTAAACCAGTCACACTTTGTTAAACAGCACAAGACATACAGATCTAGGCAAAACAATGAACACCTGAACATCCTTCCTTAGTTTTCTCACCATCCTTGAACGTTCTTTGGGATTTCAGCTGATATCTTTCTGATTTTAAGTCCCCTTTACTGAATTTCACTTCTCCTGTTCAGGGCTTCTCCTCCTAAACAATGAATCTTTCTCTGCAGTCAGTATCCTTCACCTCTAGTTGATATGGCAATCAAAAAACTTCCCATTTGAGTCCTTCCTCACCCTTTCGGTACATCTACACAGCAAAAGAACCCCTGCAGTAATGACTCTGAGCCCAGGTCAAATGACTTGGGTTTGCAGTGCAGGCAGGGCTGTCCTTAGGGAGGGTGCATGGGGCCTGGGGTGACTCTGCCCCAGATCCGGCTTCTGCCTTCATTCCACCCTTGTCCCAAGCAGCTGCTTCACCCCCTTCACACCCTCATTGCACCCATTCCCTGAGCGATTACGGGGAGGCCTGGTGCAGGGTGGCAGCATAATGTGGGGGAGGGGAGCGGGCTGGAGCCAGGTAGCTCTGCTTTGCACCGCATGAAAAAGAATGATCTGGGTGGGAGATGGGTGGCCCACGACTTCTGCTGCTGTGATGAGTGTGGGGATGAAGGGATGGGGCTTAACCTCTGCTGCCTGGCTCAGGCTGCTGGGGCCCCCAGGCTAACTTCAGTATGGGGGCTGTCCTGCCCAGGCATGTTTTAAAGTACCCTTTATGTTTGGAAACTCCCACTCTGGCACCTCTGCTCCAACCTCCATTCTTTGCAACCCACATAAGATAACTAGATTGTCTGAACTTTAGCCAGACCATTGTTGTAAAGTACTCCCATTTGATTGGGAACTGTTTAGGTTTACAGCTCTCTATCCCTTTGATCAAGGAGACATGATAGCAAATGGCTGGTTCTACATATGTGGAGGCATACTACAATTTCATAAAATCAACTAGAATTTATAAGTTGCATATAGACAGATTTTCCAAATAGTCACAGCAATTATTTAAAACAAAACCAAACAAAAGCCTTTACCTTCACAAGTCTTTGAAGTTGAATTATATGTAAAGCCTTCTTCACATTCACATTTATATTTGCCCGGGGTGTTGTGGCAGTGTGCTGTCCCACAGATGTTTGGATGCATTGTGCATTCATTCCTGTCTAATAAATTCAAAAGTTTTACTGAGAATAAAGTTTTTCTCCTAACTTTTTACCCTGCTTGAAGATTGTAAGGGCAAAATAAATAAAAATGGCTCACAATTATAGCAGATCCTGCTAGGTTTGGCAGTCTCCTTAATAAAGGAGGAGGATTCTGCATGGAATTTTACCTTGTCTGCAAGTGATACCTCCTGCGTACCTTGATACTCTGTAGGTTGAACTATGGATCCAAGGGAAAGGCACAGGTGTTTCAGAGTTTGAAGGGGGGGAAAGTAGCACCAATGTGTTTACTATAAGGTTTTGCTCATCATCATTCCTGATTGAGAGCTAGAGAGCAGTTGTTACTCGGACTGGAAGTCCTCACTAATGGCAAGTAACGAGTTCAGCAAAATGAGCTGGGGTGCACAATTTAGTTTTAAAGGAAGAAAAAGTATATGAACAGACTCTGTTCAACCATCTTGTGAGCCTGCATTTGTCAGACTACAGTATTTCAATGGGAGTCACTGTGTTAGTGAGTGTGTCCACAAAAGAACATGTACTAAATTGAAGCCCAGTGAAAGACAGCTGGAAAGTTTGTCCCTTTATTATATCTCCTGATGATGATATTCATACCAGTTAGTTATAGCTCAATAGAAAAACCATGAATTAGTAAAGAAATAAGCTATTTTCCTGCCAAAATGCCATCATTTTTTTTGCTAATACATGCCCTTTATCTGGAATTTTATTTCAAAATAAAGACTTAACGCTATAGTTAATGAGAGAGACCTGCAAATAAATATAGTGATACAATGCAGCAAAAACCTTTAAATAAAGAGTCTGGTGAGCAGATAACAAGTGTGAAGTATCAGGATGGGGATAGGAGGGTAACAGACGCCTATATAATACAAAGCCCCAAATACCAGGACCGTCCCTATCAAGTCTGGACATTAGGTCATCCTAAGAAAGAGCATTTTCAGAATTAATTAATATTTTCCTTCCAAGTTGAAGGAAAACAAAACTCAGAGTGAAATCCAACCAAAGCTGCAGATTTTCATGGACTTGGTTTCCAGCTAAGAATGTTACTGCCTTGCATTCTAGAAACTTGACTTGGGCTGTGAAACTGGTTCAAGTCCGGGTTTTGTGACCCAAGTCCAGGTTTCATTAATTAACTAACTAGCTTGAGTTCATGCAAAAAGATTTACACAACCTTAGTAGTGAACTGAGTAGATCATATCAATGAGAATCAAACATGTATACCATGGCAGAATTTGGCTTGAAACAGCAGGGGGGAATTTTAAAGGGACAGTAGCTATAGTTCAGCCTAAATTCTCTAACAGGTAGTATCCAAATATAATCTCTTTTCACAGAATGTTATTTTAAGTGTCTTTTCTTACCTCTGCATTCATGTTTATTTGAAAGCATAAAGTATCCATCCTCACAGGAACATTGGTAGGTTCCAGGAAAATTAACACATTTTTGGCTGCACCCTCCATTTTTATTTTCTGGGTCTTCACATTCATTTATATCTAGAAGACATGACAGAATATATCCTTTTTCACATCCTACACACTGCTGCAGTAATTTCTGTACAAGTCACATTTTGTAAAGTTACAAACTGAAATGTCTTAAAGTATATTTTCCAGATACATTTGGGGAGAAGTCTAACCACTCCTTCCGTCACAAAGGGCAAGCTGATGCGTCAGCCAGGTATAAACGAGGCTGAGGGACAATTACCAACTAGTGGCCATTGGCAGAAATAGGGGAGGGCAAAAATCTGTATATCAGCAAAGAAACAGCTGACTTCCACACAGGTGAGAGAACTTTGTTTTGAATTTAAGTTAGTCACCGGTGGCATTTTCTCTCTTCAAACATTCCTGACTTTTATCTTTCATTATCTTTATTCGCTTAAGATTTGTTTTTGTAGTTAAAAAACTTTATTTTATTTGATGTGATGTGTTCAGGTTGATTTGTTTGGGAAATTTCACACACGTGAGAAACAAAAAAGAAAAACCAAACCCTCACTGATGTGGCCCCCGACTGAAAAGGAGAAAGCCACTCCCCACATTCTCCTTCCACACCAGAGCTTCGGGAGGCCCGGGCTAGTAGATTTTGTGTGCTCCAGCCCCACACTGGGATGGTGGAGGGCCTAGAGTGCCAGAGTGGGTTCCCCAATGCTGGGGGGAACTCCAAGCCTCAGGGCCTGGAACCAGGCAAGTTGGGAGTCCCTGATCCTTAAGTTCCTCACCCTTCCCTGGGGATGGGCCTAATATTGGGGACTGAGGGTGGGCTCTGGAGGAGTTGGGAGTAGTGAGGCTCTGAAAACAGGAGGCTGGCAATGGAAGGTCTAGTGGTGGGGGACTCTACGGGGTAGAGGGCAGACACTGGGGGCGGGCTCTGAGGGTGGGAGGCTGGTACTGGGAGGGGGGTTGGATTCCAGGGGCAGTGGCTTATTTTGGGGAGCAGGGGGGGACAGTTCTAGGGGTTAGGGCTGACACTGGGGGGCTCTGAGAGCCAGGGCTTTTGGCAGATGGGCATCATTTTATTTGCATATTTGCATATTCATTATTTGAAATAAATATGCAAATACAATGATGCCAGCCTGCCAAAAGTTTATGAATGGGTTTGCCGGTCCCTGGTATCAAAAACGTTGGGAACCACGGGTCTAGATTGTGCCTTAGTATGTCACAGAAGGAAAATGGAGGAAGTCCTTCACCCCAAGAAATCTTGAGACTGTTTACTGCCTCATTTCTCTATTTAAAGGCATGGCACCATAAATAATGCCATCATTTCAGACATCATAACAATTACTACCACCATCATCATCATCATCATGGATTGTACCTTCTTCACATTTCTCTCCTTGCCAGCCTTGTTTACAGACACAAGTGTACTTGGCTTGCCCATCGATGCATTCTGTATACCCATCTTCATTGCATGGTAGAGGGGTACATTGGTTTGAAATTTCTGTGTGTGCAGAGGGGAAAAAATCAGAAAAAATGTTTATTTTTATGCTTTGCCTTTCCATAATCATCTTTCCTTCCTCCTTTCCTCGGATAGGAACCACTGACAGGAAAGAAAAAGCAGCCACATAGCATATGCCCTGCTACTGATTCTTCCCAGAGGTAAGTTACCTCAAAAGTTATAATGCACTTTGTCCCCTTTGGCAGCTAGTCCAAAGACATTACCACTCATGGATCAGCAACATTTCCCCCTAGCCAAGAGAAGACAATTATGAAATGAACAGTACTGGATGCTGCTCTGGCCTAGGTTGGTAATAGCAGTAAGCCACCACCAAATGAAGGTTCTTCAGTGACACAAGCAAATTAATTTGGTGTTCTCAATTCAGTTCTTATGGAATAGTGTCTGCATCAACAATCAGTTGTCTCAGCAGAGTTCAAGGTCTGAAAGGGACAGAGACCAATTCCTTTCTCATGTGAGAGGTGGCACAATTGCATGGATTGCCACTGTCACATCTGTGCTGCCTTAGAGCTGGAGTCTGAAGGCAGCCACCACAGAGCTTCCTGCAGCCACCAGAGGTTCTAAGAGGTAAAGGTGGGTCTGATCTCCCCCATGCTGCTGGGAGCACCCTAGCAGGGGGCTCCTCGCTGCTTGTCCTGACTAGCTTGGGAAGGACAGTACTTGCACTTCCTCTGCAGGGCTGCTCTTGAGTACCTCTCCAGGCTGCATAAAGCTCTGCATCCTCTACCCCTCAACTCGCTTCTTGCCCCCATCATGCCAAAACTGGTGTGCCCCCCTTTCAGATGCAATTATTAGCTTTTTTTCAATAAGATAAAGAAAGGTCACGTGAATCTTGACAGGATTTACTGATAATTCACAGCAGCAAATAACACTCAGGGTGCTCCAAACAGCACAGGGAAGCTCTGATCCAACTGCCTCCTGCAGGAACCTCACGCTGGTGCCCAGGCCCGGAGTGTGCCCTGCGGCAGGGGGAGGTATATGGCGGTGGATCTGTTCTCCCCAGCAGCTATGCAGAGGTAGCCACGTCCATCCCCCTCCTGCCCAGTCAGAGCTAGGAGCCCCCTTTGTTGGGGTGCTACTAGCAGAACAGGGAAGATATGATTCCACTTTGCCCGTCTCCTCCAGCTGCCGGAACCACAGGCTACTGCGCAATCCCAGAGAGTGCCCTGTAGTAAGGGGAAGCATCTAAAGATAGGTCTGGTATGCAGGGGAGGGACAAACCTGTCCCTCACCTGCCTAGTTGATGCTAAGAGCCCTCTTTGCTGGGGCTCTCCTAGGAACAAGGAGACATCAGATTTCACAAGGAAGGGCTTATTTTATGGTCCATGACATGTTTTTCATAGCTGTGAAATTAGTAGGGGCCTACTCATAAGAACTGGAAACCTGAGCTTCATAGTGTCTTGCCCAGAAAGAAAATCAGTGTTGGATTTTTTTTTTAGTCCATTGTAAAGCACAAAGTGTAACACAATCTTATTTTGTTTGCATATTTGTCAGTTACATGCAGGGCAACTGGGTCACATGGGTCTGTCGCCAGAGCCATGTATATTCGTTTACTAGACATACCCAAATGAAGCATGCCAGATCAGTCCTGGAGGTTTGGCAACCCTACTTACAGATATTTTGAAATAAATTACCAAAATAATTGAAACTGGTGTAAGTATATTGGTTATTTTGACAGACAAAATATGCAGGACTTAATTAAAAAGTCCACATATATTTTGTTTGATGCAGGATCACAAGAATCAGAGTAAACTCTTAATATAGCACTGTTTTTAATGTAACTTCATTTTCTAGAAAACTGTTTGAGTTAAAATGCTATTTTCTTTTTTTCTTACGAGGTGAACTGCTCTAGGGGTAGGGTGGGGCGAAATGTATGCTTAAACCCAAATCAGTATTAGGCACACAAGTGCTGTCTCAGTGCTGTTTGTGAAATGTAAATCACAAATGCTTACCATTGACACAGGTTCTCAGGTCACGTGAGGACTCTGGAGTAACGTCAGCAATCCTGAAAATCCCTGCTCGATGGGAGCCGAGGCAGCCTGTAATACCAAACCAATTCTGCTTATGGGTCAAACACCGTTTAAGGCTGAAATCATCACCACAGAAATTAAGCAAGGCCTATTCTCACACTTTGAGTTAGAAAACCAGTCAACACATTAAGGATACCTGATCACAGCCTCACATTCTGAATGGCTTAGTAAGGTTCTAAATGTACAGAAGAGCTTTTGAGCTATTGACATCAGAATTCAAAAGAAAAACATCCAGCTATTGCTGATGGAGTACCTCAGCTCACAGCATGCAAGTGGGAAGAAAGCCTGGAGTAGCAAACCAGCTCTATGATAAAGTATAACATACAAGGAGGTATGTGTTCGGAGGGTTGGGGGGAATTGGTACTTACTTAAATATCTGGGGTAAAAATATTCCTGTAAAAGAATAAGAAGTTTAGTAAACGTTAAGGTAACTGGAATTATAATAAAATGTTTACTAGACATTTACTAAAAGTTGTTTGTGCTGCAATTGAAAAAGGAGATGAAAGAGAGAAGAGGCCCATCAGCTATCATCTTTATTCAACTAAAAAAATCAACTGGGAATCTTCTGTAAAACTTGCTTTTAGATTAAAACTCAGGACATTTATGTAAACACAGGACTCCAGATTACCACAGGAAAGGACAGAAAAAAAATGGGTAAGGAATCCTTTCCCCTTCAGATTGTGCTCACCATATGAGAGATTAGGATTCAGTAAAGAATATAATTTCTCTCCCTGTGTCAGAAAGGGAGAAAGGGCCATTCTGTGCTTTGCTGAGTCAGTGTACCCAATGGAGACCTCAAAAATCAAGGGGCGCAAAACTGTTCCTTGTATTGTCTGTGCCGAAAAATCATGTACAGAGTGGAAGTCCAGGTCTCACATTACACGCATACAACATCTAAAAGATTCAGACTTTTCAAAGGAATGTTGCCCTGTCTTTTTGTAGACATAAGCAGCTAATTTTTCTCACCCTGAGCAGAAAGAATTTTATGTGCACAAATGTGGAGGTGATGTGTGACATATCACCTTCATATTGGTGCACAAAACAAAATTCATATGGTGGGAGTGGGACCAATCATGAGGTCAGCGATGAGGGGCCCAGGGCTGGGAACAGAGGGTTGGGACTCGGGTTTACCTGGGCAGCTCCTTGTTAGCGGTGCTATGGCAGGCTACCTGTCCTGGGGTACCACACTGAGCCCCCAGAAGCAGCCAGCAGGTCCAGCTCCTGCAGAGGAGAAGGGCATGAGGCTCTGCAGTGCATGGAGCCCCATGACCCCCGGCCTAAGAGCTGCACCTGCTGTGATGGCCACTTCCCTGCTGGTCCCTGCAGAGAGCTGCTCCAGCTGCGGCAGCTCCCTCATGGTGCTCTGTGCTGGGGCAGGTGGGAGGGATGCCTCTGTGCCATCTGCAGCAGCTTTGGGGCTTGAAGAGAAGCATCTCTCCCCACTGCAGCCCTAAGTCCCTGTGTGGGGCTTACTGGGAAACGGCATAGTCATGGGAACTTAGGATACAAGGGCCTGATATGCAGGTGCAGTCAGATATTTAGACACCTAAAAGGAGATTTTCAAAGGTATAAAGTGCAATTTATGGGAGCTAGACACACAGATGTCCTCTCTGCCTTTGTAAATGTCATCCCTATCTGGCAGGATTTTCACATGTATTTATATATTTAAAACCAAATGGGAAAATGTTTTGGTTTTTATTTAACTAATTGATCAATAATACTGCATACTTATATGATAAGTTTTTAAAAATTAAAAACCATATAACCCTAACACTCAAAGTTGCTTGATAGCCTGTGCTGTTTGATCAAAGGCAGCAGAACAAGCAAACTCTATAGACTTAATTTACAATAAATAATAAGATCATTTGTTTTCCAACTTTTCATATATTTACTGATTCATGTCCATTTTGTAACCCAAATGTATTGTCTCAAACACTGTAGACCTAGTGTTCTATGCATAAACACAGGAATTGAACTCTTGTACTTAGAAGCAAGTCCTTCAGCAAGGGAGCTTAATATCTTTGATAAAAATGGCTGCACCAGCACTTTGACAGGAGAACAGGGGCCATCCTTAGATGTTTTGTTCTGCAGGTGGGCTCTTCTCTCAAAAGAAAGTACACACAGCCATACTTTGTGCATTTGCTTTGTCTTCCTTAATAACTGATAATGTGCACAGCCCTCCCAAATTTATCATCCAGTTTGGTCAATTTCAAAATCAAAGGATTTTAAAACACATAAATTTCATGATTTCAGTTATTTAAATCTGAAAGTTCATGGTGTTGTAATTATAGGGGTCCTGACCCAAAGAAGAGTTGTGGCAGACGGGAGAATCCACGAGGTTATTATAGGGAGAATTGTGTACTGCTACCCTTACTTCTCTGCCTTCAGAGCCCAGCAGCTGGAGAACAGCAGCTGATTTCTGGAAGCAGTTCTGAAGGCAGAGCCAGTAGCAAAATAGAAGTAAGGTTGGTATAATATTATATTGCCACCCTTCTGCACTGCTGCTTGCAGAACTGGACCCTCAGCCATCAGCTCTCTCTCTCCAGCCACCAGCTCTGAAGACAGCAGCACAGAAGGATGGCAATACTATAACACCCACTAAAATAACCTTGTGATCCCCCTGCAACTCCCATGTGGGTCAAGACCCCTAATTTGAGGAACTCTTGTCTTCCCTGTGAAATCTCTATTAGGGATGTAAATAGTCATTTACAAAATTAAATGATATTTTAATTGTTTAACCAGTTAACCGTGGAGGGCAACGTTCCTGCAGAGGGGGCTGCTCTGGGAAGGAGCCCCCGCAGCCAGGGCCCTGCCAGAAAGCCTACTGCGGGCAGAGGGCTCCTGCAGCACTTCATGGGTCTGGCTCAGCAGATTGAGCCATGGAGCCAGCGTGGGCAGGGGCTGCTCCTGCTGGGCCCAACCCTCCATTTAATTGGTTACTGAATAAGAATGCTGGTAAGGCTAATAGGGTATGTCTACATTACCACCCTAGTTCGAACTTGATCTGTGATGCATTTTTCATGGTTGTGATTTTGGTAAGGCGCTAGTAATTTGCATATGTACTGGGCTGGCACTCTGCACATGGAAGAATTTCACTCTTAGTCTGAATATTTTTTAGCCCTGCTGCATAGAAATCTATGTTTTCCCAAGTTTTTTCTTCCTCCTCTGCATAAAATTGTTTTCCATCTCTCAAATGCTCATTACATGCTTACCGTTTCAGGATTATTTTCAAAGACTTCTCTGGCTTCTTCTTTATTGCACAATTCTTCAATGCATTCTCTTTCTAAATTTCCCTTCTTACTTTCTTCCATAAAAGAATTGGCTCGACGTTTCCTAACCAGGAACTCGGAGGCATACTGCTGAGACAAAACTTTGTAGAACCAAACATTTTTCACATTGTATGGCTCAGCAATGTGATAGGGTAAAAATTAACTTAAAGTGAGATGCTAGAACAAAAAGTAGAATTCAGTTGCTAGTCATGCAATAGCCATGTGTAACTCACTGTCAGGCAATGTGGGAGAGGAAGCATATTTCAAGATTTCTTTGCCTTGCTTGTGTGTTAGTTGCCCCCCCTCCAAAAAATCCCGATTGACATTTAAGCAGGTACATAGATTTTTCCGTACAATGCTTTACAAAGAACATTATTGAAAAGCCACTGTGTTAATGGGAAACATTGTTTGAATCCTGGGTATTAACAATGGGAGACATCTGACAAACAGGATGAAAAATTCTGTGGAATCTTATGTTAGAATAACCTGTTTTAAGTACATAGAAGAAAGGTATTCTGTGAACCACTTATTTTATAGGAGGCTGTACATGCTTTTTATAAACCACGGTATGCCTGCTAATACTTTACTTTATGAATACTTTACAATTTAAGGTGAACAGCCCAGGAGATGCTGAAAAATCCCAGGCGATGGCATTCGTGAAACAGCTTGAAAAATGTTTGGGCTGATGTTGTGAAAGGAAATTGTTGTCTCTATAAATGTTAATGGAGACACAGACAACCTACATGTTTTATAGTTGTAATGCTGCATGTGTGTGTCCGTTTACTTTGCACATCTCTGTGTTGCTATTACTCATGACTTGAATTTTAAATGTGCTGTGAATTAGGAATGTTAACTCCTGGGTAATAGAATAGTCAACTAACCACATGAATTCTAAGTGGTTAGTCAACTATTCTGGGGGTAGTGGCGACAAGAACCAGGAGCCAGGCTTTTGCCTCTGTCATCAGCCAGCAATTCTGGATTAAGGATGTTAAAATGAAGTTAACTGACTAGTTGATTAGTCGATGGAATTCCACATAGGCACTTCCGCATTCCTCCTTTGAAATATACAAGAGCCGCCGTGTACAGCCTGGTGCAAGTGGGAAGTCCGGCTGACTCTGGGCTGCACGCGGCATACCTGCTTTGAAATGCACAAGAGTCCCCAGCAGGGACTCTTGTGCATTTCCAAGCCATGGAGCTCGGGGTCAGTGGAGTACTCAGAGTCCCCTGCTTACCCCAGGCTCCATGCTACACTGCATGCTGCTAGGAGCCCAGGGTCAGCTGGGGAGTCCCCAGCTGACCCTGGGTTCCAGGCAGCTGCCCCTTTGAATTGCGCGGATGTGTGGTTTAAAGGGACAGATACTGAACAGTTGATCCACGGGACTCCCCAGCTAACCCTGGGCTCCCTGGGAAATGCCACAGGGAGCCCGGGATCAACTGGGAGTCCCCAAATGACCCTGGGCTCCTAGCAGCATGTAGCATAACATGGAGCCCGGGGTCAGTGGGGGACTCTGAGTGCACCCGCGTGCAGCCCGGAGTCAGCGAGACTTTCCACTGGCCCCGACCTGTACATGGAGTTCTGCATTCCTCCTTTGAAACAGATCACTATCAGGTGGAAGAAATTAAATACTGTAGCCCAGAATAAGGATGTTAAAGACTAGTCGACTAGTTGACAGGCACTCGTTTGAAATGTACAAGAGCAGTGAAGAATAATCTAAAGGGTGAAGAATTACACATACAGAACTGTTAAGATGATAGAAAGGTTTTCCCCGTGAAGGAAAGTTCATGTTGTGAAAAAACCTGTGCCACCTTGAATTTAACACAGGTTTAGCTACTCTTTTTTAACCCCTACAGACCTGAAGAGGAGCTCTGTGAAGCTCAAAAGCTTGTCTGTGGCAGCAAGAGAAGTTGCTCCAATAAAAGATGTTAGCTTGCCTATCTTCTCTCTCTCCCTAATCAAAGATGACCACTTGAGCCATCCATAAAGATAAAAGTGGTAGCAGCAGTTCTGTGGTGCTGGGACAAAAAGTAATGGCTGAAAGAGAGTAAGACTCAGTAATAATAAAGTTGTTCTTGTTAAATCACAGAGGGCTTTTAAAAATTTCATGTGGACAGTTTCCCAGTAGCAACAACCTTTCAATTCCTGTAACCACTACTGTGTAAATAAATTGTTACATAAGAACATAAAAACATAAGAATGGCCATACTGAGCCAGACCAAAGGTCCATGCAGCCCAGTACCCTGTCTGCCGACAGTGGCTAATGCCAGGTGTCCCAGAGGGAGTGAATCAAACAGGTAATGCTGAAGCAGTCTCTCTCTTGCCTTCCCTCTCCACCCTCTGACAAACAGAGGCTGGGGACACCATTCCTTACCCATACTGGCTAATAGCCAGGGCTCAACAAATTAGGCAGTCTACTCGCCCGTGGCGAGCAGATTTTAGCCCGGCAGGGCCACGCAGCATGGTCAGCACGTGCGCAGCGTGGTCTGCGAATGCGCAGTGCGCACTTCCATGTGGCTGGTGAGCAGGGCTCGCCGCCGCTTGGCGAGCCCTGCTAATAGCCATTTATGGACTTAACCTCTATGAATTTATCTAGTTCTCTTTTAAACCCTGTTACAGTCCTAGCCTTTACAGCCTCCTCAGGCAAGGAGTTCCACAGATTGACTATGCGCTGTGTGAAGAACTACTTCCTTTTATTTGTTTTAAACCAGCTGCCCAGGTTTGGTAATGTTAATCCTGTAACACTGTAATCCTGGCAATAAAGTGGCATAGCTAGGAGCCCTTCTGTATAAAACTGTTGGGTAAATTTCTCTTTAATGTGCTTACAGAAATGTTCTTTATTAATTTTAACAATGACAGATTGTTTGTTCACTTTCCCCAAAAGACCTTATCCTACTCCCTTTGAAGTTGAAAGGAGTTTTGCCATCTCTTTTTGTGATTTCCTGTGCTTCCTCCCATCCCCACCCATTAAATATTTTTATTTGAGAGCAAGGAAAGTTTATCTGCTAAACAGGTCTTTATTTACATAGATTATTCTGTTACATTAAAAAAATCCTCATGTATATTGCATATCTGATTACTGGAACTCAAATTACCGTGTGACTTTGTCAAACAAAAAGTGAACATAATAGGCCTGATCAAACTATAACTTTAGTCAACTGAGAATATTGCTATGGATTTCATTAGGCATGGGAATAGGCCATTATTATCTAACAATTTGTTTATCAAGTGCTGAAATAGTGTTGTTGAAAGAAATAAAAATTCAGGACCACATTCACTGAGCCACTCCATTTATGCTTCTGGTACTGTAAAACGTCTTGAAGAAAAACATTGGTTGGTTACTCTTTGTTTAGCACAGACAGCTTTCTTGTCGTCATCTAGTATACCGAATTAAAGATAGCTACTTACCTGAAGCGTTTGCAGTCTACTGCCCCAGTCCTGCCATAGGACTACTACAGACATACCCATGTGCTAGAATGGAGCCCGCATTACTTTGGTGAGACTCTGCACAGGTCCAAAGGGGCAGATGCACAGACGTGTACGAAGGTGTTAAATTAAAGTTGTACAGGTTGCACCTAACAAAACCGGCAATCTCTGGTCTGGTCACATCCATGGTCTGTGTTCCTGAATCAGAGAGCCCAGAAGCCTAGTGGCAGTGATCCAAAAGCAGGGCCAGGATGAAGCAGCAGGACGGGACAGGCGTTGGGGTAAAATATTTAAATCAAATTTAAAATAAGGTCCTGTAGACATAGTAATGCACAACTGACTTTGTCAATAAATTCAGGTTAGCACATGCCCATTAAATGGTTTCATTCCCACTTAATGGCTTTTTTTCAGGTTCAGTTTTATACTAATAGCTCTAGAAAGGTGGAAGACTTTCATTTTAAGTTCACTGGGGGGAGGAGGGGCCACCAGTGTCCAAGCAACCACAGCCTGCTGTGGGAGCCTTCAGGGATAGGAAGAGGGGACAGGTTGACCACTAAGACCCAGGGAGAGGACTGCCACCCCTTGCCTCTTATACCGCCCTGCCCACGCAGTAGCAGCTGATTAACAGGAATCCTGTTGACTTTGCCTTGCAGCAGTGGTGAAACTAATGTTGGAATTGATAAGAGTTGTATCAATTTCAGTCAGAAACTGCTAGGGTCTGTGTCCCAGGACCACAAAACCTGGGCTCTGGAGTAAGGATGTTAATGGTTAACCGGTTAAACAATTAACTGGCAAGCCTCACCTCTATGGCCATGACTGGGGAGTGAGCGGGCTCTAGCCCAGCTTAACCAGTTAACTAATTAAATAGGTTTTTACATTCCTAGTCTGAAGCAGCCCACCAGGAAGCCAGGCAGGTTTCTGATGGGAACATGGCTGTGATTTAACAAAAGTCTGGCAATCTTGAGACGTTTTACAAAACATTTTGAGTTCAACTAATTGGCATTTTCTGATGACACTTTGTTTCACAAGGAAATTCCCAACAGCTCTAAAGAGCACAATTGATTAAATTAAAAATCAGGACATTTATATTTAATAAAAGGATTTTTTTTAAAGCGGATGTAACTAATCCTGCAGTGCTTAACGCTGCAGGATATAACTCAGAAAAACATTTTAGTTAAAATGTGATTAGCCATCTACAGAGGTGAAAGTAAGAAGGTGCATCCTGATGCACTGCTCTGCCAAGAGCCAGCTTGGGTGCTCTGCTGAGAGATGGCTGGCAGAAGGCATTTCTTGTGGTGTGGCTTGCCAGATGGTTTAACAAAAAATACCTGCAAACACCCTCGCCCCCCCCAAAAAAAAACCCACTGGGGAAAAAAAAGGGGGGGAGACCAAAGTTGTTAAGCAAAAAAAAAAAAAAAAAAAAAAGCTGCACCTTTAATACACCCCGCCCCTTTCCATCTGAGGGAAACAGGAAATACTAGACATTTCACATGTCCAGTATTTTCTGGGTTTTTTTTTACCGATGGGGACCCAAATAACAGACAATCCGGGCAAAAACCGGACACCTGGCAACCCTACTTGTGGTTTACTTTCCCACCCAGGCTCCTGCTGCAGGCTGGGCTGGCCACCTGCTGTGTATAGCTAGGTGAGGCAGGCATACTAAAGGGGCCAACTGAGGAAATGCTGTAGGGGAGGCGTGTGTGCTCCCAGCCAGGCTATGGTGCTGCCCCTCAGAGCATGCTGGGCAGTGCACATGTCATCTGTGGGCGGCAGGCCAGGAGGTGTCTCGCACTGCTGCTGGATTCCTTACACGGTGCTTCCCCACAGCCAGCCTACAGTTGCAGGTAGTGGCAGGGACTCATCCACCAAGAAGATAAGGTAACCCAGCTCCAGAAGCCCACACACATTCTCCCCCCAACCCCTGTCCTGACTCTTGCACTCAGCCCTGATTCCTGCAACCCCCATGTCCTCAGATCCCTCTCGCACACACCCTGCCCTGAGCCTCTCTCTACACTCCCAGCCCATGCCCTGACACTTGCACCCCTCCTCCTCCCACCCAATCAAGGTTCCCTCTAAGCAGCACAGCAGCACAACCCCGCAGCTGCTTAATCGGCCTTGCCCAGACAGGGGCTCAGGGCCAGCACCAGTTCCCTGCTGAAGACAGAGCAGCGAGTCTCTTCCTTGACCCCAACCTCCTTTCCTGAGCCCCCTGCACTCCATACCACACTTAAATTTCCTACAGATACAGTACTATGGTATTGTAATTCCACCTACCCCCTCCTCTGAGTCCCTCCCCACGGGGGGCAAGTTGTAATAAACTGTTCCTGTAAGAAATTTGTTATTCACCCCTGGATTTATATTCATTTAAATAACATGTTTTATAGTACGTATGACGATGTTCATAAGGGCTGTCCATCTTCATGCTTCAGGACATAAACCATCAGCAGCCATGCACAAAAGCAAATTTTCCATTATGGTTATAATATTACACAATTCTATGCCACCGCAGGATGAATTCCCTGATATTTCAGGGGGACGGGACATGGGAATACATGAAACCCTCATGGTTTGTGGAATCGCTATTTCTGGTTCCTTGTACTGGCTGGTCTCCTGTGGCCTGAAGGGGGTCGGGGTGGAAGGCAGGAGTTCCCTGTAGCTCCTCATAGCTGTGGTGAGTTTGGGAGCTGCAGGGAGCTCACTGCGGGGACCAGGAGCTGTGGTATCCAGTATTCATGACAGGCCCGGTCAAAGAGTTTGTGAGGCCCAAGGCAGCATGTTTTGGTTGGCTGCACCGCGTGGCTGGGCGGCTCCCAGCCAAGGCAGTGAATAAGCAGCTGGGCGGGTGAGTGCCAGGCGGTGTGGGGCCCTGCTCTCCTTGCATGATTCATGAATTTTGCCATTCAGTGGATGCAAATGGTGAGGGTTTCCCTTTGGTCCCTCCTACTCTCTTGTATGTGGCACATCATAGGCTTTGTCTATATTGGCAAAATTAAAAGAGTTTAAAGCAGTGCCACAACAGTGCTTTAATGTGGCAGTGTGGTCCTGCACGAGTGCTGGGAGATGCTTCTCCTAGCGCTGTAAGTAAAATAATCTCCACTACTGGTGCTGGAAACTTGTTTACGCTGGTACCTTACAGCATTCAGACTTGTTGTTCTAAGAGGGGGGCTTCACACTCCTGAGTAAGAAAGTTACAGTGCCATAAAGCAGTGTTGTCTTCAAGTCGTCATTGTCAAGTCCAAGTCGAGTCTCAAGTCACTGCAGTTCAAGTCTCAAGTCGAGTCTCAAGTCTTAATTTTAAAAATGTCAAGTCACTTTGTACAAGCCATCAGTATCGGCATTTTCAGATAATTTTTTCACCAAGTCAATTTAACAAAATTAGCAAGTCTCAAGTCGAGTCTCAAGTCACAAACAATGAACCCGAGTTGAGTCTCAAGTCGAGTCACCTAGGTGACTTAAGTCAGACTCGAGTTCAAGTCGTGGGACTCGAGTCAACAACTTTGCCATAAAGAGATAATGTAGACAAGCTCATAGTTTAGTCGCCTGTGGGCTGTAAAATGTCAGTTGCTGGGTTTAGACTGGTGGGTGGTGGTGGCCTGTGGGATACAGGAAGTCAGACTAGATTATCCAGGGATCTCTTCTGACCTTAAACTTAATGAGACAATGACAAGAAGATGAATTATTAGCAGGGCTTGCCAAGCTGTGGCGAGCCCTGTTCACCTGCCGCGCGGTTTTGCACACTGCGCATGCGCTGACTGCGCTGCACGGCTGTGTCAATTTGTAATCTACTTGCCATGGGTGAGTACGAGCCATGATTATTAAGGATGCTTTTCAAAATGCCTAGCATTGGTCAGAGCCATGCTAACCTAAAGAAACTACAGGGGATTTGCACTGATATGGCAATGTGAATATTCATATGTAAATATTCATGGAAAGAAAAGCGGAAGGGTAATGAAATGAGATAATAAAGGAAGACTAAAGAAGATGGCATGAAGAAGAAAAAGGCATGTGAAAAAACGGATTTCTTTTTAGACATTGTACAGATATAAGGTAGAAATGAAATTTCGTCATTCTCTAACATTCAAACAAAAGTTTCAATAGTAAATATTAGATTCTTCTCCCTGTTTAATCATTAAACAGGTCATAAACATGCTTACAATTTAAGGTTCTAATTCTGATAGTGTCACTAATTTCTTCCCTGTGAATGGTCTTACCATACCACCCACAACAGAATGTTGTTTGACCTGAGTGCAAACTGACCCCTCCCTTCAATACTTCTTTTTTCTACATTGACAAATGGCTATTTGGACATGTTTTTTCACCTACTCCATTTTTCCAGTCATCATTTTGTCTAATTTTAAAGCATCAGCTTTGAAGTTATGCTGCTCAGGCAACCGTTAGACAACAGTCACTTAAGAAAACAAATGCATAAGAAGTCAAATGTAAACAGTATCCATACCAAAGCACTCTCTCAAATTAGGTTTGTACTAACAATTACTTGGATATAAGTTTCAGGACATAGCGAAGTTAGTCTGTACAGGATAAACTTAAAAAAACAACAAATGTATGGAAATAAGTAATATTCAAAATATTGACCAGGAGCAAAGAAAGGCCCCCAACTTAAATTATACAAGCCTCATTTAGAGGATATTTAAGTCACAGAACTGCGTTTTTAAGTGTTAAAAAACACACCTAAGTAAATCTAGTGATAGAAATGTAGCCGTGTTAGTCTGGGGTAGTTGAAGCAAAATGCAGGACAATGTAGCACTTTAAAGACTAACAAGATGGTTTATTAGATGATGAGCTTTCGTGGGCCAGACCCACTTCCTCAGATCAAATAGTGGAAGAAAGTAGTCACAACCATATATACCATTTACCCTAAGTAAATCTGTTTCTGCAACAAAAGTTACCTCCACATTTAGCTAAAACAATGTACATGAGAGTCTGATTTGCTCACCCATTTTGAAGAAAAAACAGCAGGTCTGAAGTTCAAAGTTCAGGAATTGTACCAAAGATGATAAGGGTCTGTTTCATCGGTAAAACTGGGAGAGAAGTTCGAACTACCATTTCAAAAACTGGACCTCTCGTAATATTTTCAGAACACCCTACTGACCTCCACATACACAGGGCAAAAGCAAACTTGACCCAAATGGCGGCTAGTGGCCTAAATGACTCCGAAATCTGCTCTCTCAAAAGCAGTGGATCAGGAAAAAACATGCAAGTAACTAATTATTTCCACAAACGTACAAAGCCCTAATTATTTTTCTACCACTGTAAACTAGGAGCTTGATAGATTAACAGATCGCTGCTAAGGTCGCTTTGTTATGCACTGCAAGTTTCCAGGTGATTTGCATAACACGGCTAAGAGAAGGGGCAACACCAACCCGAATTATCCACGCAAACAAGCAAGTGTGAACTTTGCCTAAGTTTTGAAGCTGCTGAATTTACTTACATGTCCTGGCCTCTGAGAGAGCAATCACCACAATCAAGCAAGTGTGGAAAGCGATGCAGCGCCTGCCTAGCAGCCTCATCCTTACAGAAAGCAGCTAGGTGTTACCAAGCACGTGTGTCTCGGGCTTGAGAGACACAGACAGACAGACACTGCTTCTCTGTTTGTGCCTGCAGCAGCTGACCGAAGTGGCAGCACCGCAGCAGCAGGGGCTCTGGTGCCAAACGCCAGCCCTCCTGGAGAGCAGGGGGAGGGAGTGATAATGGGGGCTGGACGCTTCCAGGAAACATTCTCCCACGGAGCAGCATAAACAGGATGCGCGGAGCTACAGGGCAGCCAGGGCCGGGAGGCTGCTGAGCGCCGATTTACAGCTGTCCGAGAAGCTGCGGGGCTGGAGAGAACAAGAGAGAGAGCAATCTCATAAAAGAACACCGTGGCCTGCACAAAATTAACTTCTGGGTTCGGTTGAAAGTTCACTTTCTGTCAACATTTTCTGACCAGCTCTTAGCTCTCCCACCCAAGCGGGAGGGACGGTCACCTCCCCCCGGGAAAGCCCAGGCAGACACTGCCTGACAGATGCCACATATCCTTGGGGACACCAGGCACAGCTTTTCAGCTACAGCCATCCCTTTGGGGGACACCAAGCACAGCTCCCCAGCCAGGCATCTTCCTGGGGACACACCACTGTGATAGCCTGTAGCCCCTGTTCACCCCTTCACAGGTTTATGATACACATTATACAAAGTATGCCTTTTGAGATATTATTAAAAACTTGTAATTTGCTGATTATTAGCATCCTGGTAAAATAAGTGTGCAAACTTGCATGTAACTTAATAAGAGTCCTCTGAATGCTATAACCTAAGACATGTTACAAGTCTGGGGAGTGACCCCAAACCCTTTGCTGCTCAGAGATAGATGGCAAGGTGATGCCTCAGCCAGATGTCAACAAAATTAAGCAGATCATCACCTGGGTAAATGGCCATTCTTTAGCAGGACAGAGGGTGTGGATGAAAAATGACATATGCACAAATAAATGGCTTGGGATTCCCATACACACACACACTTTCTGTTGCCTAAACCTCCCCTGGAGGGTTTCTTGAAGAAAAGAAAGAACTATAAGAAGGGAGAGCAGCAGAACAGATTAAGCCTTTTCTCTCCACTCATGGCATCCACAATACCTAAAAAGGTCACCTCTACCAATACACAATATGCAGTCCTATAGGGCACCGCAACATTTGGCACACTGCTTTTCTCTGTTCTCTAGAACAGTGTTTCTCAACCAGTGGTACAAGTACCATCAGGGTACTTCAGTCTGGGGAAGTACATCAACACAACTGGAGAAAACGGAATTTTTGTTTTAAGTTTTACAGTGCTTTATTTTTTTTTGTACTTTTTACACCCCAAAATTTGATTGCCTGCCTGGCTACGATTACATTGTTTAAACAAACGTGTTGCAATGGTAGAAAAAAATGTGTATCTGAAAATTGTAGGTACTGAGGGACTGAGGGTACTTATATATATTAAAGGTATTTTATAAAAATAAAGGTTGATTAAACACTGCTCTAGCACCCTCTGGTGGCCAGCCACAGCCCCTGGCCGCATTTCCCACCCAGGCTGCACTGAGCAGGGTCATCCCTGGGATCCACCCCGCCCCCTTCATCCCTTTCCCCAAACCCC